AAAAAAAAAAAAAAAGGAGGTAGTGTAGAGTGGGGTTTACAGCAGGGATTTGCTGAACAAACAGACCTGTATTTGAGACTGAGATATGGTACTAAGAGCTCTGTGATTTAAGCAGTTAAGCCATTTTTTCTTTTCTTTTCTTTTATGTTTGAAGTTTCCAACTTTTTATTTGGAAAAAAATTACCTACAGAAAACTTGTATAACCTTTCCTCATTCACTTTTTAACATTTTCTCACATTTGCTTTATCTCTTTATATTGTTTTTGGTTGTTTTCCTGAATCATTTAAAGGATGCTGCAGATATGATAACTCTTAGCTAGATAACTCAAGTACAGATCTCCTAAGGACATTCTACATGTTAATAGTCATCCAATAATATTGTCTACTATGCACATTACATTCATTTCCCCAATTGTCCTAAAGAATGTTTTATACGAGGGAGACCTAAAAAAACCCAGAACTTATTTATAAAAAATTGCGTATTCTCACATATTTAAATTTTAGTCACCTTCAAATACCCTCCGTTTTATGCAATACACCTATGGAGATGCTTTTTCCACTGCTCAAAACAGTGAACTCCTATTTTGAAGTCTTTTAGTGCTGCTGCCATTTTTTGTTTCACCTCTTCCACATTGACAAAATGTTTCCCAGCCTTTGCTTTGTTAAATTCTGGTGTGTCCGTGTGGCTCTTTGAGCTGTGGCCACCATTTTCCTAGCTTTGGCCCCCTCCCTACCTCGGGGAGGTGAATCTCTAATTTACTTTCTAAATAAATTATATTTTCCAATCTAACTTCAGTGCACTTCTTTGCCTCTTTCGCATGGCACAGGATCACAGACAAGACACCTCCCTATCAGGCCTGACCTAACATTTTGGAGGCACCTACTGGAATTTTTTTTTTTTTTCTGAGTCGGAGTCTCACTGTGTCACCCAGGCTAGAGTGCAGTGGCACGCTCACGGCCACCACAGCCTCGACCTGTTGGACTCAGGTGATACTTCTGCCTCAGCCTTCCAAGTACCTGGAACTACAGGCACACACCACCACGCCCAGCTAATTTTTTAATTGATTGTAGATATGAGGTCCCGCCAAATTGCCCAGGCTGGTCTTAAATCCGTGGGCTCAGGCAATCCTCTCATCTTGGCCTCCCAAAGTGCTGGGATTATAGGCGTGAGCCACTGCACCCGGCTTCTACTGAGATTTTTAACCTAACAAATATTTATTGCCCATTAAAAAAAAAGTTTCCTTCTGAGGACTTTTTTCATATGGGGAAACAAAATGTCACTCAGGATGAGATCGGGTGAATAGGGAGGGTGGGGAACAAGGGCCATGCCATTTTTGGTCCAAAACTGCTGAACACTCAGTGCAGTGTGGGCAGTTGCACTCGTAAATCACCCATCATGAAATGGGCAAACGCGCTGAAAGAATCTCCCCCCCAAAATTCACTGAAGCCGAACACAGCATCTCACAATAATGCTAACTGTTACACTGACGCTGATGGGTTCTTAGAACACTCATCTAGTGGGAGAAGCCTGTATTACAAGGGTCCCGACCTCCAAAAGATAATTCTGGGTTTGTTTTGGGTTCCCCCTTGTAGGGTTTGTTTGGATATTTTTATTTATGTCCAGAATCCAAAGTTCACTCACTGAGTATGTTAAATCTCTTTAGTTGCTTTTAATCGAAAAGGGCTCCAAATAGACATTTTAGGTCTCCTTGTTTTCATCTTAAAATAATTATAGTTTAGCTGGGCTCGGTGGCTCAGCCTATAATCCCGCGCCTTGGGAAGCTGAGGTGAGTGGACTGCCTGAGCCCGTGGGTTCGAGACCTGCCTGGGCAACTTGGCAAGACCTCATCTCTACAATAAGTCAAAAAAAATTAGCCGGGTGTGGTAGCGCGCGCCTGTAATTCCAGCTACTTGGAAGGCTGAGGTG